TACAGGGTCAGGGCCTTTTTACTACCGAGGAATCGCTCTGGCAGAGGAATACTGGGGGCGTTTTTACCAAGGGGCCTGGCTCGTATAAGATCCCGGGATTTAGGGATATTCCGCAGGTTTTTAATGTCGAGTTGTTGAAGGATGTTACGTGGGAGAATTTGAGGACGATTCAGAGGAGTAGGGGTATTGGTATGTTTCTCCCTTTTCCTCCCTCTTTCTCTCCCCCCTTTTCTCGCTATCTTCCTTTACCCCCTTTCTCGCTATATTTCTTTATACGTAATTATTACCAACTAACACACCAACACAGGCGAACCCCCACTCTTCATGGGCAGCGCAGTCTTCTTCGCCATCCGCGACGCGCTCAAGGCCGCGCGCAAAGAGTTCGGTGACGAGTCCCTGCTGTCGTTGGTGAGTCCGGCGACTCCGGAGAGGATCCGTGTTTCTTGTGCCGATCCGATTTTGAAGCGCGCGTGGGTTGAGCCGGGGGAGGGGGAGAAGAGTTGGTTTGTTAGTATTTAGGGCTTAGATGGCTGGATGGTGGGGTGGAAAGAAGGGAGGGGGAGGGGGGAGGACTTTGTATTTTGGAGATTTGTTTGATTGGCTTGGTTGATTGATTGGTTTGTTGTTGCGATCCTGTAGCGTCACCAAATACCCTCGCAACATTCAATAAAGTCCTTGCGAGCACACCGCTGCTCGAAGTATTCCATTTCAAAAGAGACAACTTTCCTTGGTCTGGCGAACCCATCACCTATATCTCGATTGTCCTCTCCCGTTTTCGCTATTTCAAGCGCGGGATGATCGGTGAGATGCAGTTCGCTGAAGAAGACTGTGCGACTAATGGGAAACGGTTCTTGGAAAAATTGGTTTGCTTGCACGAGGGATAATGTGCATCATTTTCAATGGACTAAACCGACCAGATTCTAGAGTCGACTTTAGCCTTGTGAATAGAGAACGTCTGTACATATTATATTCTTCTTGGGTATAGGTCAGGTACAATCTGACGAGGAGTAAGACGTGGATGTAGATATGCATTTCCATTACTAGACTTCCATGTACAGCGGCGAGGAAGGATTCATCGACACTTTCCTACCCTCTAACTTGGTAAAACGTTACCAAATTTCCTTTCAATACACAACCGAGTCCTGCCCCCTTAACAGATTCCCATATTCGCCAGACTTCCAATACATGACCGTAGCTTAACCGCTCATTCTCCATATCGCACTTTCCAGACCATGGCAACCTCGGCCAACTTACCACAGGACCGGAGTATACTCATAAAGGTCATTCAATCGTACCAGCCAATCGTTCACGCGCTCCGTAGCAGTATCCTGAATATATAAATCCGGGTAAGTATACGACGGGGGAGGATGCACGAGGGTCACCCACTCCTCCTCCTCCAAAGCGCCTTCCGACGGAGGGATCGAGATGTCGTTGGGGCGTTCGCGATAGAATTCGTACCAATCGATTTCAAGCTGTGGCTCGTTCAGGTGGACGGCGACGAGTTCGTCTAGGTCGAGATGCGTGGCCATGGCATCGAAGGCTACGTCCCAGGGCAAGGTTGACAGATATATCCAGATCAGTTTGAGACTCCTATATCGAGCAAACGTGTTACCAAAGCTCGGAGTTTGACGAGGGTTGACGTACCTGAGTGATTTGGGACAGGATGTGATCAAGGCGATGAATTGTTGGGTAGTCATGGCCATGTTCGACAAGTCGAGGGAATCGAGATGACGTAGATGAGGTAGGGTAGCGGTGATATGTGCGATTAGATCGCCTGTTTCATCTGTATAGTCGCCTTCCAGCTGCAATCTCTCTAGTCTCGGAACGCTTATAAGGAGGTCGTAGAGCGTGGTGCGAGACGCAATAGGGTAATCGCCTACTGTAATACCTCTAAGCGTCAAAACGCGAAGATAGTCGAAGAGAGCAAAGTGTTCTGGTGCCGAGCAGATACTGTGGATCGGAAATTGATGAATGTTACGGCATTTATCGAAGTAAACGAGTTTCATAAGATGAATGTCGTACAGACTGAGCGCTTCCATGACAAGCTCTCGCACTCGTTCGTGCTGATAGTCGTTTATGTAGACGGAATTCAGTTTTATCGCGTTTCTAAGCAAGAGGCATAGATCCCTCCAGAATCTACCTCCCGCCGATACGTATGCGTCGTGGCTCGTGTCACCTGGCTCGATATGAATTTGCAGGATTGCCTTCTGGAACTCGGGCTTCGCGACGATTTCATGAGCTCGGCGGAACCCACCAGGTTCAACCCAGACATGCACCGTTTTGCTAAAGTGAAAGTCAGTAAAGCTTGTTCGGGGCGGGGGGCGTCGTTCATCTCAAGGGATCCGTTGTGATCAATGCAGGTACGTACCAGTATTCGAGAGCAAAGTACGGAGTGACCTTGAACTTGATTTCTTTGCTCGTGAGGCGTAGGCTTTTTAGGTCTTCTCCATAATCGTGATCTTCGTCAACACAGGATGTGACTTGGTCGAATATGAGGTATAATAGCTCATTTGGGAGCTGAGTAAGCCGGGATGACATGGTGGCGGCACCGGTGGAGGTGGGGCTGCGGGCAGGGTTGAAAGTAAGAATTAGGAGGGAAGGAGGGGTTCTTATAGTGTGAAGATTAGTGTTGTGGCACGTTAGCAACGGCCGTGCATTCACCGTGATTTCCTTAATCAGTCTAGCGTAACTCACAACGGCTCAGCAGCCAACCTAAAGAAATTCACAATCTCTGTCGCCTAGGCAACCTCTCTCCTAGGGAACTACGGTTTATATCACTGTATTCCACGCCACCTCCCTCTAGGATCTAGCCATATCGGATTCGAGTTGAAACCCTAACTAGCCTAACGCAACTCCAAAGTCATGTTTTGAACGGCGGAGCATACACAACTGTTACGCTCACCTAAAAGACCCTATCAATGCTTATGAAATGTGGTTGAAATATGCTAGACTAACGATAGCAAAAAAGAAGATATTTGGACACCTCATGGCGGCGCTAATGGTCAGGGTAGAATGCATGACAGCCATGGATGTAGCAGCGGTGAATTCGCCAATTCATGATAGCCATGTACGCTAGCTTCATCGGTAGCGGTTCGGCCTTCTTCATTGCTTTTATCGGCTTTACATCCAGCATTGACGAGTCTCCTATATTCGAAAATCGGGAACTTTGCGGGAGCAGGCGAGGTGGAGAGGAGTGTTATGCCAATTACAGTGTGAACGGGGACCTATTTCTACGCCTTTTCCTAGCTACACTACACCTACCTCCTACATTTCCCACTTACAACTCAAGAATCTTTCTCAGTCGACAATGATTAAATGAGAAATTATTTCTCCCATCCAAGCGCGTGGGCTATGTTGAGATCTTTTCCTCCTCCGCTCGCCGTCATGCTTATCACCTCGCCCTTTTAACAATTTGCGAAAAGGCTTTTTTTATGCGCTACTATGACTCCTCATGATAGCTCTTAACTACTAAACACACACAGATATCAAAGACCTTATATGAACTTCAAATTTTACAGTAACCTAAGCTTATCACCAGGATTAACAGTCTCTGTTGTCGCTGAAATTCTGAGAAACGAATAATTTGCGAAGAGAATTTCGCAGCACACCTGTAATCTGTAATAGAGGCTTCGTAGGCAGCTTCGTACTCACTAATCACAGGAGATCCAGAAACATAGGAGACCACGCTAATTCCTTTCGGAGACTGCCGTTAGCGAACTAATGATTGAAGCCCGGAAGGTACGGTGTACACCTACACGATTGAAATACTCGACACACATAGAACACAGCAGGCTAGTCCTCTATAGGAGTCTTGCCTGCCGCACTAGATTGTATTCTACAGCTGCAACGCATAATCATGTTACCCGAAAGCAATATCAGTCACCTCGCCGCCTTTCCTTACGGCCATCTTCCTCATAAGCCGCCTCTCATCATTCACGATACCAAAACCCCAAAGCTGATCCATCGCCCAGCCCTTGATCTGGTGAACAATTAGATCCAGTAGGTTATTATCACTACCGGGCTTCCCTTTCTGTAAGAAGTCCCGATTTAACACCAGGTCTAGGGCCTTTCCATCATGGCCAATGGCATTCGCCAGGTTCAAGGAAGCCCCTTATTGGACGCCTTGAGTGGTTTACTAGTAAATAGGAGCTGGTGAGATTTTGCATTAAGATCTCTAGAGGAACATCTATCTCGTCCTACGTATGGCTTGATTCAAGTGTAGTTCCCTAGAATATTGTAGGGTGTAGAGACGGCCAGTGCCGTTCCGTACACTGGCCTACTAACATCACACGATTTCAAGGCTCTACAAGAAACTCTATCAATAACAGTTAAATCTTTTAACTTCTACTCCCTCTCGCTCTCTCCTATTCTCTAGCTATAGCTTAAGTGCTAGAGAAGACTGCCTAACCGAGGGTTTCGCACCAATTATCATGCAGTGTAGGATCATGCGAACAACCTAGGACAGGCGCTTACAGATCACTTCGCCGACAGCCACACATCCGACCGCGCAATCTACAATTCGGAAGAAACAACAGCAAGAGGTGTAGTCAAAGTACGCATCACAGTATTAATACAAAGGAAAAGAGCAAAGATAGATGCAGCAATCAGGGCCCTGTTCGGCGAAGTAAGAAAATCGCCAACAACGGCCTCAAAACTTCAGCATGAAAGTAGGTAAAGAGAGGATTTTTTGCGGCGGTAGTAAGGGCGAGCTCGCTGGGAACCGGATACAATGCACGCAAGGCTTCGCGATAGAAATCTTCTTTGTCGTTGCCGCCCTAAAAGCGGAGCTTTAGTTGGTCGTTCGCAAGGCTTAACCTCAAAGTGGCCTTAGGCCGTGGGTAGATCCTTGGTACGAAACACTAGCCGCATCGACGCACCCCGAAATCAGTTGTATTTTGAAGTAGAGTATGGGATTGTATTTTGAAGCAGAGTGAGATTTTTGATGTAGAATATAAAATGAATCAAGCGCGATTTTCCCATAAGTCGTCATTGGCAACAATGGGCTTGTGGTTTAGTGGTATAATTTTCCCTTAGCACTTCTTTAAGTTGTATAACTCAAAGATAACGTGGGAAAGGTCCTGGGTTCGATTCCCAGCAAGTCCAGTCTTTTTGTTTTTGTCGGTTTGTCTTTTTGGCGGTGTCGTGGTCTTGGGCTGGGAGCTTTGTGCGTGGCGAGACAGTGGAAAAGTGCCGTCTCATCTGTGGACCAATCAGCGGTGGCGGCCTGCCAAGATGACTACTACTATCTGATCTTCCTCGACCACAAGTTCTCTCTTCTTTTGCACCGAAGATCTCCGCTGGGGAACGTCATCGTCACGCCGCGACATGAGTGCAAGGTGTATTCAAGACATGGTGTCGAGACGCATTTTCGCTGTATCAGGTATATCCAGAGAATAGCATGGATGGAATTCCTCCACGCTATTTTCAGCTCCAAATGGATTGGTGGATTCCATGGACGGTGGAATCAATGGAGGATTCCATGAAGTAAGTGCTAGGCTTCTATCAGCTAGTCTTTATCTATACAAAGTATAGCGTTAGGTAGCATACAAGGGTGGAGCATGAACGGGTTGCCCCCTCCCCCTGTCGCCCTTAGCGTCTTGGCCGAAAAGACGGCCGATTTCTCAACTCTCTGAGAGTCAATTTTGACGGTTTCTGTACGATTTCGAGCTCAATTCTGCTGATTTTTGAAGTTGATAGTAGGAAGGATAGTCAAATTGATCAATAGACGCGTAGAAATGGGCGTTTTAGCTCGGATCAACTGTTGATCCGGCCGTGCTGACGTAGGATTGTTGTGATTCCAAGAAGACGCGTGATTTCTTAACACTCTCTGTACCCTCACTGCCTCTGTACACGTTTAGTTATTGTACAAGCTTGTTGTTACTATCATGCCTTCCTTACACCGACACC